ATAACAACCATGTTAAAAGTTGCAACGGACAATCCGCTTTATTTGCGCATACTTTTACGATTTTTACCCTTTTCAGACATATTCAAACAATTATAGAGGTACTACATTCCAATGTGTTACTCTGAGTTCCTGTTTGTTTGGAATTTTTTTTTCAATTTAATTTCGAATGAGGAATTTGAAACAATTTCAAGAAGCTGCGAAATGTAGGAATATCTTGTATAGGCACGAAGCACGTGCCTTCAATTAGTTTGTATAATCGAGATTCTAGAGTGTCTGCTTGCCGTTCCGGGGCTAAACTTTCCACCGGTTTTGATATTTTATAATTGTGGTCGCTACTTCGGTTAATAACACGCGGGGGCGCGTTAAAACCGAGCAAGAAAACGCTCGAGGTATTTCCCTGAGAAACGTACTCGAGCAACTATTTCGCAATTTCCCCGGAACCGATGTGCAAACCCGAAGTTTCGCGCTGCTTTCAACCCTTGAAACTTCAAAATATTTGTCGGTACTCGTACGAACACGTGGCCGGCAGTTAACTGGATTTATATCCAGAGAGAAAAAAAAAAACATTCTTATAAAATCGTTTCATTCTTATCCCTTTGCTTTTCACCAAAACAAGCCCGTGCAAAATCAAAGCTTTGCATCGTGGTTGCTGGCTTCGTTAAACATCAATTTACAAACTCGATGTATCAGAAAATGTACGCCTAACAGAATTTCCTGTGGCGATGGAAGTTTACCGGGACCTCTTTTGGAAGAACTAATTTTCTGAATTTCACCCGGAGGAAAATTAATAACAGGGAAACCAGACGTGTCACGAATTTCGTAATTGAAATACCCAAAGCCGAAGGAAACTCGGCTAACTGTGTAGGATGCGGAAACAGCCGAATGCGTCGATAATTAACGAACACGGTGCGCGGAGAGAGACATCTCAGAAAATATTCCAGAAAATTGACTTTCCCAACGAACCTTGTATCGCTTTATTGTAACCGATGATCACAGCGATCACACCCTCGAAGGCGAAGTGCAGGCTGTCCCATTTATCAAAAATGATCCGGATGTGAACAGGTATGGTGAATTTAAGATTAATCCAATGGGTTGCCTCGTGGCAGAGGCTCAAAATATCTGGATCGATGTTGCACTCGAGCAATCCGTAATTCGAATCGCTGCGTCTCATTAAAAATCGATCTAACTTTGCCCGAGGATTGTCGCCCACTTGATAGATCCATTTATGGTAAATATCATGGACAAAATCTTCGATGGTTTTCATAAATATATCGTGCTGATTATAGACTTCTACGCTGAGGCCGCAGTAAGGCATCCATATAGATTCTTCCAATAATTCCCTGGTTGATTGGAGACGAGCACCCTTCATCCTGAGACACAAAGCTCTGCCCGCATAGTACGGTGTCATCGAAGGATATTTCTCAGTGTCGTCCAGGATCTCCTGTTTCGTGCTCTGGATATCGTCGCTGAAGAGCTTCCATATCTGCGAAAGGTCAACGATCTCGTTAAAAAGTTTCTCGAAAGCATCATCGATGTCTTACTTCAGCGGTCGTCGCTTCGAACACGCTCTTCAGGTTCTCGCGATTCATATAATTATAAAATCCTTGCAGGTTCTCGACGGCCTCTTGTACGTTGTTCATTCCTTGGAAGACGGTGGCCACCAGATTTTCAATTATAATCTCGAGATCTTTCATCTCGACACGAAAGGCAAGTATGTCGTCGTGCCACATCCCGTAATGAACGTCTAAGATCCTGCCGGAGTTCTGCTCGATATTTCGCAGAGCCTGCTGAAACAGCTTCTCGACCTTTAGACACACCCTCTCGTGTTCCTCGCCCAAAGTACCGCTGAATATCGGCCTCACCATTTCCGTCGTTTCGTCCATTCTGAACCCGGCGATCGGTAGATTCGATGGGAATAGAAATTTTGTATTTTTTTCGAGCGATAAATTTGGCGAAAGATTGGCGGGTGAAGGGGTTAATTCGCGAGCGAGGCTCGAGAGGAGCGAAGAGGGTTGGCTGATTACCTGGCAAAATCGATCATCGCCTGACAGATCTCAATCATGTCGTGGCACCTGCTGATGAAAACATCGGTGTGACGGAATATATTGTCCCTGTCTAAATCCCACGGTGAATGGGTCAGGACGTTGTGAGCGTGTGCTATCTGAAAGGCAAACGATCGGCGAACGGTGAAACAGTCGTTTCGCGAAAATTTATATTTATAGCTAGATCGGCTCGTTTAATATCCGGCCTCGACGTGACGGAATCGAATGCCGACTTAAAGCGGCTAAATAAGGCCGATTACACCTGCCTCGCGTGTCATCCTTTATTCCGCATTATCGTCCGCTTTGCACGGATAAAACGGCGCACGCCGTTCATTCCGGGCTTGTCGATGATAAAACGAATCGATGCTCGTAGCTGTAACGAGAAACGTTTCCCTTCTATCCTTCCCTTTCTGATGAAAATTAATTTTAACCACGATAATTGAATTCGTTAAACGCGAGAATACAAATGCGCCGGCGACCACTCGCCTGACAATTTCATTTCGTTACCTGATTTTACATTTTGTCAGTGATGAAAAAGTGATTTTAATGTAAGCGTTTCAACGAGCTACGAGTATGCATTACCACGAAGAGTAAAGTGATTGGTAAATAATTGGAGTATTGAAAATGCGATATGATTTTTTGGCGGGGAAATTGTTCCTTGACAATCGATGATTGTCTGACAAACTTGGTCGTGATTCGTTTTTCGAGCGAGACGAGCCATTTGTTCAAAGCACCCTACGTATATTGTTCAATATTACAGTTATTTCGTTTCGAAACGAACAATTTAATCAGCAGTTAATTTTTCCCGTGAATATGATTTTTCGGAAGAACGGTCCGAATTGCTTTGAGAATAATCAAATATTTCAACGGCTGGTTATAAAGCTCGAAACCCAATATCATCGCCTGCCGTTCAAATTTTATTCCATGTTCAGGGTAATTTCAAAAAAATCCCTTCAATTTATTGGATTAATAAACTGCGCTAGCGCTACTTTTATATAATAATACGAGAGTTAATTAAACATCCAGTCGAGCGAGGCGAACAATTAATCATCCAGATTTTTCGCGTCGGTTAATAAATGCTTGTTAGGAGGAAACAAATAGACCGTTCATCCCCCGGCACTTTATTTGACCTTTGATCAATAACCGAGATTTCCTGGAAAAATCCTAACAACCTTGTAATTCACCCCGTTCGACAGCTCTTTCTCGTCGCAAGGATACGTCCAACTAATTTTCATCCCTGCTCGTGCTTATCTAGCCACACGGGAAACGCCTAAGTCGGGGTTATTGTCGCTTCCGCTTAAAACTCGACCCCGTTTCATAACTATCCTCCACCCTCCTCGCGCGGATGAAACGCTAATCTCTCGTTGACAAATTATTTTTCTCCGTCATTCTCTCCGCCTTTTGTTATTCTACGATTTATAACCGAGCACGGGGGGTGATTTTACGATCGTTAATTTAGAGGATTAAATTCGACACGTTCCCTCGGATGATCATCGATCTCTCGGTACGTTATCTTACATACAATTAGCCTCGATTACCGAAATACAAGATTAATTGTAGCTCGACCGACGCGCTCTAACCGGTCTGAATATTATTTTAACAAAGACGTAGGGGATGTGTTTCCTCGTTCACTGGGATCATTGTGAGTCGGCCAAAGAGATGGTACAATTACCGTGACTTCCGCTTAACGCGCCAACTCCTCTCACTTTGCTTAACGGCTGTTTCCTAAGTATCTAAAGTAACTCTGCACACGTCGTTTTAATAGTCCCTTAATGCACCCCGAGCGTCGAGTGAATTTGTACCTACCTAGAGTCGAGCTAAGCGGGATCGATGTGAAAATGAAATTTAACCCTTTCTTTACCAACTACCTGTACGTTCTCTAAACATAGATAGTCTGCGAAGCTATTTAAATAAAAGAAAATAAAAAATGAAGGAAGAATTTTGTTAAAATATTACTTTATCATAGAGCAATTTGTAGTTCTTGCAGATGTCGATGCATTCTCTAAACTTCCTCATGGATTTTCTGGTCTTTCCTAGGAACAACTCCGTTAGATCGATATAATTTCGACAGAGGATGATAATCTGATTGCTGAGAGCTTTGAACAGGTTCTCCACCCTCTCGTAGCTGTTATAATACGGCGAGTTCAGCCATATCGTTCTGAACAGGTGCATCATTCTCATCAGATGTTGCTCGACGCTCGCAGGCTCGGTGCATTGGTTCAATTCAACCGTAGGTTTCACCAGGACTCGAAGGTACTCGATGTTGGATCTCGCCTCCTTAACTCCTTGCTCGATCTCCTCCTTCAGGGTGACGAATTGTCTCACGTAGGTCGAGTGATTGCGCAATAGAAACTCTACTATGTTCTTCACGGTGGTCTTTTGAAGTTGGTGATTCAAACCGCAGAGGTTGTCGTCTGTTGGAATTAGAATTTCTGTCAGAATCGAGATGGGGATGATTTTTTGACAGAGGCTAATTACTAACAGCGATAAATCCAAAATTCGTATTCGTCGTGAAGGCACAATAACTCATTCGGCGTTGCTTGTTCCTGGTCCGATAGAGCGACTCTGATCTGGGTGGTCCAGTGCGCCACCACACCCCCCAGCCTCTTGAGCAATTCCTTATCGTCGCCGGCGAGGTCGACACCCTCCGACGGTACATATATCACCGTTAAGCCCAGCATTTTGTACGTTAGGTCCGTTAAGTTACACAGGAAGGCGTCCATGTGCGTGTAAAAATCCGCCTTCACGCATGTATTTCACTGGCGTTAAGGAAACTTAATATTAAGGCACTTAGAAATTTCCTTAAAAAATTGCGATATTGGAAAGCTGGAAGATCGACTGGAAGTTAACGATTAACAATATTTAAACGAGGACTTAAAAAAATTGCGATATTGGAAAGCTGGAAGATCGACTGGAAGTTAACGATTAACAATATTTAAACGAGGACTTAAAAAAATTTCAATATTGGAAAGCTGGAAGTTCGACTGGAAATTAACGATTAACAATATTTAAACGGGCACTTAAAAAAATTTCAATATTGGAAAGCTGGAAGTTAGATTGGGAATTAACGATTAACAATAAATTATTATTGATGAAAACAGCCTTAAGAGACCCGTAGAAACGACAGTATCGTCCTGGGCAAGCGTAATCCTTTCGGTTCAAAGTCACAGCGATCTGACGTGACGATGTTACCAAGTGAATTTGTAACTTCGGCCAGTACAATCCCCGGTTAGTAGAGCACAACGGCAACTTCCGGTCCCAGTCGGTCCCAGAACGTACGACCAGGAGAAACAAGGAGCAGGCGAAACAGGAAGGGTTGGACGAAGTTATTATTACCATAATTTTCGACTAAATGCACTGTGCAACTCTCGCCCGTTGCTAAATTTCTCCTCGATGTTTGCTCGTGGTACGTGCGAACGAGGTTACTCGTCCAGTCACCAACGATTGCGTTTCGTTCGGCCGGAAGTCGCTTCATTATTTCAAATGCATCGAAGCTAAGCTCGTCTAATTGCGAGAGCACGGATTTAAACGATGGACCTACATTACAATTGCGGTCGGTTTCCGGTCTAAGGAAGCTGTTCGAGTGCCAGAATCAAAGGAATTATTTAACACTTGCTATTATTATTTAAGTATTACGAATCCCTTTTCTCACCGATATTTCCATTGAAATACAACGGATACCTGTTACTCGGTTCAGCGAATCGTCGAGCACGCGACACATTCGCCCTCTCGAAATTTACGATCCGTCGGAAAACTTTTCGCAACAACCTGAACCTTTCGATTGCCTCCATCTACGCGGAGGAATCCCGCGAGGAGAACCGCGGCCTCTTCTTCTCAATTAACCGTCCCCGGCTGGCTCTTCCGCGCATTGTTTATCGCCGCCAGGAAAAAGGACGATAGGACGGAAAAGTTTCGAGACTCAATTCTCGTTGAAGTATCGTTACGCAACCGGTTCCGCGATACCCGCCAACTTTCCTCCGCGGCAGACTAATTAAACACGAGTTAAACAGCGATAGGATACTGTCTGGCCAGGTTTCGATCTTCAGGAAGATCGGAGTTAACACGTTCTGCACCACCGTCAAAATGTAGCTCTCCACTTTGTCGTTCACCGAGCCGAACAACACGCGATCCCGGAAGTTATCCGCTCGCAGAATCTCTTGCGGCTCTCGGACAAAGAATGTCAGCTGGTGCACCGGGGTCAGAGGAAACATGAACGAGACGTCGAGTTTGTTGCGCACGTAGTAAATGACGAGCATCGGGATGTTCGGGTTCTCGAAGAATTGTCGTATCATCACGTCGGTATAATAGGTCCAATGGGCGTTGGTCAGTCCACTTAAAGTGGTCATATCCTTGACGCATTTTATCTTAAAATGAAATAGATTATTTCTTTAGTATCATAGAGACGATGTCTAGGTAGACTCACCAATGTTGCTATCTCGTTTTCGTCGTAAATTGGTCGGAGCTCCTCTTCTATTTCTTCAATTTTTTCTGTAATCAAATGGTAATTATAGTAACCCTAATTTTATTATCTCAGATTCGAAAAGCGCCTTCAAATCTATTAACCCATTAATTGCCAAATTTTTATTTTTCATATTTTTATTTAACATTTTATTTAATATAATCCTATTGCAATATAATCCCATTTGGGGATCGCGGTAGCAAATGGGTTAACAAGTGATCCAATTGTTTTTCTATCCAGTTTATACAGAGAACCATTACAGAATTTAACACTAATAATAAGAAAGTTAAACTAGGATTAATTAGAAATGAGGCAGCTGACAAAATTAGCGTTCCTCGATGAAAACCTCGGGTCTAAATCGAAGACACTCGTTTCTAAGAATTTCCCTCCTCCTCTATACAGAGAACCATTACAGAATTTAACACTAATAATAAGAAAGTTAAACTAGGATTAATTAGAAATGAGGCAGCTGACAAAATTAGCGTTCCTCGATGAAAACCTCGGGTCTAAATCGAAGACACTCGTTTCTAAGAATTTCCCTCCTCCTCTATACAGAGAACCATTACAGAATTTAACACTAATAATAAGAAAGTTAAACTAGGATTAATTAGAAATGAGGCAGCTGACAAAATTAGCGTTCCTCGATGAAAACGTCGGGTCTAAATTGAATCGAAGGCACTCGTTTATAAGAATTTCTCTCCTCCTCTTTTCCTAACATTTATTTTCTATCAGAGTGCAACACAACCGCATGCCAGAGGAAATCGCAGCCCCTTACCTCCGCTGGCATGCACCCTTTCGGTGCTGGCGATCTAATAGGAACGATAAATCGCGGAGCAGCTAGGGAATCGACGGAAGAGGAAACACGTCGGGTGATCGAGGCGCCGCGGGAGGACACGTTGCCGTAATTTATTGGTCAATGATAGCGAGGCATTATGTAGATAGTATAACGATGTCGTCTCTTCTATTCACTTCTCTGTCTAGCTGCCCAAAGGGACTTATTACCGTCACGTAGCTTTCCACGCCAATGGTTTCTCACGGTTTACATTGCGACCCCGTCACGTTTCCCTTGTATGTTCACAGGATCTGGCCGCGGGACTGATGCACACCGAGGGCTTTCAGGAATTTGTTCAACCTGTCGTGAACGATGAATCCGAGAACAGAAAGTACACTTTGCCAAAGGCTTTCCATGGGAATCGGTGGAAAAATGGAAACACCTTGGTACGTATTCGAAGCAGCAGCCTAAAGCCAGAGATTTACTCGCTTTCCCACTTTAGCTACGTCAATCTTCTCCTTGTTTAAATTGTTTTTTTTTCTTTCTATTTTTTTTTTTTAAACTCAAGCGTTCGATACTTGATAGAATTAATGATGATGAAATGAAACAAAATTTAGAAATCCGAGGATTACGCTTTTTAAGACCCGCTGCCTTCCAATATTATCGATTCATAGTTGAACAATTTTCAGATAGCCTGTTCAAATTCCATCGGCCGTGTTTCGAACATTTTTTCGCCGGAATTCGCCGGAGGTACATCGCCGGAACATCGATAACTCGTGCCGCGTCACGCGAAACACGCGATACGCGAGGCATCGACGATAATGGAAAATGCATAGCCGGCACGAAGAACAACGTGGAACGTCCCCGCGTTCCAGCCTCGTTTTTTCTTCCCCGTCGACTTCCGGGGAAATTTTCGCGACACCCTCGCGAAATGTTCGATAACCGCCTGTCGTTGGGATCGTTTCGAAATGACTGAATTCTGCGTCAAGAACGGAGCCGATCTATTCTTTTCCTTCCTCAACATTTTCCACGAACAAGGTTTCGTAATTGTTGAGAGGATCGTTTCCTATATGCTAAAATCACCGAATTTCACGGGGACGGCTACAAAAAGCCAGGCCGCTCCGATGTTTATTAAAATTCATTAACGCAAAATCGATCGAACGGGCTGCCGCGTCGGGAGCCGGTAATAACGATTCGCAATAAAATTCTCGTCGGTCGGATTAACCGTTACAATTTTGTTACACGTTCGACGGGAAGGTAATTCTTTTTTGAGGGTCCGGCTTGAATGTGCGTAAGCCAACGGGGGGTGGGAACAAAATCGAACGTCGGTGAATATCGCGGTAAACATTTTTCCCCGGCTACGTTCGGTGTATTAACGCGGCAGTGTGCGACAGAGTAATTACGGCCATTTTACTCGACGCCCCCGCGTTTCGCGAAATTATCCCCCTGGTCCGATCGCTTTTACCATATTTCCCGTTCTGATTTCATTCCATCGAAATTTCATTGTTCCAATCTTTGAAACGCCGGGATTTCCTATTCTCTTCATTTTTATTAGAACAAACGAACCAGAACGCCGGAGATAGCATTAAGCTTCGTGGCCGGTAAAAACGTATCAGTCGGATCAACTGGCGTTGTTCAACTACGAACGGGTTAATACGAAATTAAATCGGATCAGGGATCTTGCGACGCGTCCTCCAGCAAAATTGCCACCTTCGATCATTCGCAGCCAGCCCGTGACATTAATTGTTCGCGGGTAGTTTCCGACCGTCCCCTCTCTTCACCGTCTTCGTTCCTCCTCCTACGGATCCTCCGAGCTTCCGGTTAGATATTCCGGATAACAGTTTCTGTGTGTTCGGAGGGTAAAGCGAACGAGCTAACAACCTCTACCAATAGATGTCTGCGGGTTATTGGTTTATTTAGTTCACCTACTTTCCAGGCATCGCGGCGAATTAGCCGGATCTCCGTGGAATCGGCTCGAGAAACCGTAGAGAGACGGGCAAACGGGGCTTAAATTACCATAATCCAAGAGACAAATTAGGAACTGGGCAACACCGTGAACGGCCGATTAATCGTTCACCAGTGGCCACCTTAAGCGTCATAATTCACCCACCGGTATCGGTGTTACCATCGTTTCCGGTTTAATCGAACGATCTCCTCTCCACTTTCCGATAGTTGCACGTTCCATCGACGGGGATGATTGTCTAACACTCTTTCAACCTCTCCGCGAATCGAGAGTTTGATTAAATTAACCCCTCGACGTATAGAAAAATATTTGATCCTAAGGGTAGGAAGAAAATATTGAATCAATTTTGCAGATGGAAGGGTTAATTCTGACTTAGGTTAGGTTAAAAAATGAATCGTTAGACGATCTTCGAACAAATCGCTTCGATAGAACTACGTCCACAGCGGGTTGATAATTCATCGTCGAAAGGATAAGGGAGGGAACCGGAAGAAAAATATAGACGGACTGAAGGAGTTGGCAAGAGGAGTGGTGCACAGCAGGAACAACGAAGAAGGAGAAGGGAAACCTTTAATATTTTTCTCGTAAATCTTACGCTGGCTCTCCTCTTCGTCGGTGGACTCAGCGTCCAAGTACTCTCTGCGCGGATCCGAAGGCGGCTTATCTTTAAGTTTATCTTTCCGACTTGGCATTTTATTGACGGTTCGGTCTGCCGGACTCGACACCTCTCTCTCTCGAGAAGCTCGTGCAACTGATTTATGCGGCCCGTCCAACTGTTACCACCGAACCCTTTTCGCTTTTCGTATTCCCGTAGATATCGTCGAGTACCACGAAGTTGCTCGATCCTCCAGGAAAGATCGTGACGGACGGGATCTCGAACGATCGTCGTTTGTCAACCGGATCGAGGCTCGAGCCCTTTGGCTTTGAAATTGAGACAGACATCGTCAAACTTTTCTTTGGCTCTATTGTTCTAGCAGAAGCAATTACAATACTTCTTTTTGATCGAAATTTTAACACTTCATTTATTTATCCAACATCTTCTAATATAGCACTCGCTTTTTCATTATATATTTAATGTATATACATACTAGCATCCCCGCCGCAGCTTCGCCCGCTCTCATAAATAAAAACTTCGAGAATTTGTAGTAATAATTGATGTGGCGAGTAGGTGAACTTATAGCCAGAACTCGCTAACTCTCTTGTAATGCCGCTCGCCATCTAGTGGATGATTCTCAAACTACACTCCAGCGGTGCAAGAGCGCATGCGCGGCTGCTGGCGGTAAGAGCGCATGCGCGATGGGGATTCACATATCATAAATCACTTTTTTAATAGCATAATAACATTTTAATGAAAAATCGGTAGATTTTATTATTACTAAACCTCCCTGGGACCATGAAGATGATGTAGTTAAAAGTTGATAGCGATTGGTTCAGTAGTTTTCGCGGTTAGCGGTTCCAAAAGAAAAAGGGGTTGTCCTTTTATATAGTAGTAGGATGTATATAGTTTAAAGAGAAATATTAGGATTATTCTTTAAAGAGTGGAATAATTCATATTTATTCTAAATTGCACGCGGCGAAAGGTGGTCGGTTTTTAGATACTCAGAGCTTTATTTTTCTATTTGGTTGGTCCTTAAAAGATCAGTTCATTGTACCAGTCGTAATAATTCCTGGATGGAATCGAAATTTGATGGACCAGGGACGACAAAAGCGGCTACGCTATAAACTTGCTTCATCCAACGGAATATGCTCGTCTATTGGCTCGCGACGTTTCCACACCGCGGGACCGATGCTTTAAATAAGATGCAAAATGGTGCCGTTTCCAGCCGACAATACCAATCGATCCTTTCGCTCGCTATTCGAGGAAATATAAATCCCGTTTAATGCACCGGCCACCTAAACGACGTGGATTTGCGAGCATCCAAACGGCTGTTCCAGCCCGACAAGAGATTGATGGGGGTACTCTAGCCCGTTCCAAATATTCAGATCCAACCCACCTTGATCCCGTTGTATCGTGGACCAATGGTAAATTTAAATAATTGCAAATATATGGGACAACAAATGATCTACTTCCCGTGTAGAATATTTTCTTCTCGTAGCAGAAAGATTTTCCTATCTTTTCATTCTGTACAGATTTGTAGTTTTGATGTAAATTATAAGACGTTCCAAGTTGAAACATGTAGCCAGGATAAGGTATCCTGAACATCGAACGCGAAGCAATAAACGCTACTTGTCCAGGACACTTCACTGACTTTACGATGCGGATGAAATGTTCTTTCCGACCAGCTGTTTTGTATCCTCTTCTTTTAAAACTTGTTAAAAGTTATGGCTCTTCAATCTATTTCAGCAAACTCTAATTTATAGCACAGTTATCCGAGGAGAGGATGCATTAATCTTCTCTTTATTTGCAAAGATTTTAACGTTAACCATAGGAGTGTAATTAATCGGCTGCATAAGTAATCGTGGAATTTTTTACAAAATTAGAAATTTAAAAATCTTTATTAGCCTGGGGTGAGAAAGTTAAGGGGTGCCTTGAAACGATCAATCAATTCAGCGAGCACCATTTCTCCCTCAAGTCCCTGATCGCTTTTTATTTATTTATTTTTTGGATAACACTCCGTACCGAATGAGGAAAGCTTACGCGGCTAGAATCTGTGAATCCGTCGTTTCGACAGTTAGATCCCGCCATGCAGTTTGCATGTTTTGCTCGCAGGCTGGCTGGATGAGCGACGTTTTCAGCCAGGTCGAAGCGAATCGAAGCGAGCGGAAGGAGAAATTGCAGCGGAACGAGCAGGGAGAAGGGGGTCGATGGGACGAGATTAAAAGAGGCAAAGCTACAAGATTAAAAGGCAATGCCGGACACGGGACCGAATCGAACGAGCTGGACGACTACTCGCGGAGACATTTATATTCCCGGGAAATCGTTATTGATCGATCAGTGGATTCCAACGATCTCCGTCGTGTCGTTGCCGACCCTTTTCTTTCATCCTTTCCCGTTCGATCGGCTCGATACCGCTTGTCCTTTCAAAGCTGTACACGCGCACTACGACACAGATCAGCTTTGTTCCAACTTCCTTCAGTCTTTCATTGTCGTTTATGATATTCAACCCTTTGTAACTCCCTTCGATCTCTTCCTTTTCTATCCGCCTACGACTTTCTTGTCTAATCGTGTACTTTCACTAGCTTCCTCGAGGGTTGCTCCACTTAATTGGTCTAAGACACGAATTATCCCTTCGACTTTCAATCCCTGAGTCATGGGTCTACCTAGAGAAACAAATATAATTTTTTTATTAGTTCAAAGTAAATTGAAAGTCCGAGAGAAAGGCAAGCGAGTCGCAAGGGGGATGATAAAATGAACAGAGAGATTCGAGTTTCGAAGCGAAGCTTAACGTTTGCGCCAGCTTTCGACCCTCGAATGGTAAGATTACTTTGGGTTCTTTCGGTGGCGGGATTTTCTGGGGGTAGGTTTAAGGGAAGAAAAGCTGCGGACAACTAGGTTAGTTCCACTCAAGGTAACTCGGTCTTGGAAACGTCTCACGAGCGTATTCGTAATATTCGTATGCTCTCCTTGAAACTACCGAATAGCGTTACATAGTCAGAGTCAGAAAGTTTTGCGTCCGAACGGTGGCTATTACATTTTCAAGTTACGAATACGTAGAATATTTACACGTGACTGGAAACGATAGGGGAGAATGGAGACAAAAGTAACGTTGTAGATAAGTCGACATTTTTTACATACAGTTCAAGTAAACACAAATATGTTCTAATAATATTGTAAATCAATAAAGTCAAATAACTATGAAACATTTTGGTATAAACATTTTTCTTATAAGTGTAATAAAAATCAAATTGCTACTTTTATCCCTGCTCACCGTTGTGTTCCTCTAACTGTTATAATAAATTCTCATATTCCTGTCCATTTTCACTGCTATTTTCACTTTATTTATTTTATTTATTTATTGGTATGTATGGGCATGGCGCTTTTTATGAATGGATATACAATGCAGTCAATTGTTCAACCATTTACATGGCTCATGGTTAATAAAAAATTGTAAAGCTGGTACAATGTAGAATAATACAGTGAAAGAAAAAAAAATACAAAAGTATAATAATATAATACAAAAAAAAATTCCTTTATTTCCTTAACGTTTGATAACACCACGTCAGAATTACTCGACCCATTTTTCACCGACTATTTATCACCGTGGAGTATCATGCTTCCAGACTCTATCCATCATCCTTCATCTTCTTTTGTCGTCTATTTTACAGTTTCCTCGACGCGAACCCTTCTCTTAACCCTTTCGTACGCTTACCTCGATATATAAATAATATATTCAATTAATATCCTGATGGAGTTTTCACGACTTTTTTGGAGATTTTCGCAAGGTCGACGCATACCTGTTGCTACCCGTAGCAATTATACTCCCTAGAGCCCGAGGGACTTATCGCGCGCTGCCCTAGGCTACCCCTTTTTCCTCTCTGGTATCGTCGGCCAAGAGCCAACCAAAATGGGGAAAAAAGGTTCGGGAGCGGTTGCAGGAACCCCGGATCGCTGTGGGAGATTTTTTGGACGTCGAATGGCTCGTTCAGATAGCATACCATCCTTCGAAACACCACCTTTTTTATCCTATCACCAGTGGCTGACGTTGGTTCTTTAGGATCCCACGAGTTTCCCGTCCGATAGGGCGAGAAATGGGAGTTTGAAAATAGTATTTCAACTATTTTCTAGTCATTCAATCCAAAAACAGTAAAAAGATTGTTCGTGGACGTGAACGACCCAGGTTGCCCAAGGAAGTGGCAAAATATTATCCTTCTGTCACTGACGTCAAAGAATAATCGATACAAAATCCACGGCCAGTAAAAAGAAGAATCTCAACATGAATTTTTCACCCTTGATTCGCTATTACTTCCGGTCTCAAAGTTCTTGATGTAGCACTCGATGCAGAACGATCTTAAGATAAATTTTTCATCCCTAATTCCACGTTACTTTCCACCCCAAAGTGCTCGCCACGGTAGTTGTCGCATTAATACAGAATAAATGAAACGCATCGACAGGATCGATTCAATAAAGCGAACAAACGGAGCGTGAAAAGTTAAACGTCGTTCGTTTCGTAGTTCGATCTCGAAGGTAGCGCCCTTTCGCGGAAAGGTTTATCGTGCTGACAGAAATTGTTTCGTAATTGCTGCAGGACGAATTTACGGGAGGTACCGGCGAATATATCGTAGCGGCCGAGCAGACAGGAAGGCGGAAATTAAGGGAAGGAGGAGCAACGAGGGAAGGGTTACGGGAGTTATGAAACACGACGTAGGAACACGGCTCGGTTGAAATTTACAAGGGACTTAATCGGTTGCAGCGGATACGCGTGCACGCAGAATGCATTTATAATAGCGGGTACATACACCGCAACACCGATGATTCTCCGTTTCTATTAAATAATACGCAATCGTAAAAATGCCGGATAGTCAACATTTCAGCCACGTTCAAATTGAAATTGACTTTATAAAATGTCAGCCGTCTGGCACGCGGTTAGGGGATGTTTCGTGAAAGTAGTCGACAGACATTTTTCTTTCCCTTTCGCTCGGATTCCCTGTTATTTTCCCCCCTTAGCTAGGGCAGATGAAGAGCGAAACTTTTCGGAATTCCAAAGGAACGAACGAAACGTTGAACCGAACGGTACGGGCAAGAATGGCTCCGATGGCCCGGAGAAGTAGGAAAACTTGCTCTACAAAAGCCGCTACGACTCGGCTGGATTTTGCCTGATAGAAGCTGTCCACGACCAGCTCGCGAGAAACTTTACCGACACTCGGAAAATTGCCCTCCGTATTATTTTACTTTGAATTCCTTGAAATGTTCGGTATTTAATAATAAAAAAAAAAAGTTCGCGTTGAAAGTTTTTTAATTTCTATTTAACTAAGACGACGCGATGGCGAGCTGGCAGGGTGAAAATTAATCAACGAGAGGAAGATGCTTCTGTTTTGGAAGAAACTGGGTGGAAAGGGGTGGCCAAAAGCAACGCTAGCTGTCGTATGTATGCTAATTGAACGAGGAGCAATCTGGAATGGACCCAGTCAGTGGCTTCCAGTTGATTACCATTGCGAGTGCTCCGCGCAGAGTTCCTCTACGAACGACAATGTGAAAACAGCTTTAATGTTCCTGCTCGACTCGTTGGGAGCGCGACAGCACGACAAAATCCTGTTCCTCGGATTACAGGCTCGTAGAATATATCCAGCCTTTCGTTTAAATTGAAGTCACAATTAGGTTGTCGCTTTCGAGGATCGTAAATTGAGAAGAAATAGAATCATTAAGGATTTTTTGAACAGATTTTTCAATTAACCGTGACTTTTCGCGTGTTACAGGAATATTAGATATTGAAACGATTATTGAGCTTCAAAATACGTAGCGATACGTCCTGATAAAATATTTACAGCCTCGGAATGAAACGTTGAAATATTTAATCGTGCCATGTTGGCGATTACACGTGCATCTTTAACGTCCCATTCCTTTAATCAATCGAAACGTAAATTAGTTCGGATTGCGATGGGGAGGAAGGTCGAGGGAGTATTTTACGAGTCTGCAGTATTTAGAATTGCTGCTTTTTTAATTAGGAATTTTCGAGGATGAAAATTTGTGAGCTCCAAGTTTGAAGTTTTCAGAGACGGAATTTTTTAATTTCGAAGCCTTCAAAAGTAGAATTTTTCAAGTTCAAAGTATTCATAGTGGAGCTTTCAAAATTTAAAGCTTTTGAAAATGGATTTTCCAAGTTCTGAGCGTTCAAAGATGGAGCTTCCTAAATTCAAAGCTCTTGGAAATGAAACTTTTCAAATTGAAAGCGTTCAAAGATGGAGCTTCCTAAATTCTAAGCTCTTAGAAATGAAACTTTTCAAACTTAGAATATTAAAAGATAAACCATCCTAAATTCAAAGCTTCAGAAACTGGAATTTTCCACACATGATGCATTAAAATCCAAAGCTTTCAAAAATGAAACATTTCAAACTCAAAGCTATCAAAGATAAAGCACCCTAAATTCAAAGCTTTCGAAACTGGAATTTTTCAAACTTGAAGCATTAAAATTCGAAGCTTCCGAAATTCAAATAGCACTAATATTATGCTACAAAACTTCAATCCTTTCGTCAGGAAGCATTACCAAGAGCATTACTCAAACTGGGATACTTTGGGCGTAGATCGTGAGGGGCGTTTTACATGATGGCCAGTGACGAGGTAACGTTCTCTCGGACGTTGGTGCTCTTCAGGGAGAATCGAATTTCAATTTAGCGAGCCCCGTGAAAGAGTAGGACCCATGTTCGGCTGGGAGGGTCCGCGGTTGTTTGTCCACTGGGTAGGTTGCCGGGAACGCTTTCCTTCGGCAATCGATTGCTGGACGACCGAGGGATTTCCTCGAGTGCTTCCGCTGTCTCGTGCAGCTTGCTCACTCGAATCGGTTCGCTGGCCACGGGAACGGGACTAACTGCTTTCACGATCGAATCGAACGGAAACAATGGCCACCGGAATAACTGGTACACGTACGATCGAACCGGTTAACCGTACGGGCTCGTTCTCTACGAGCGAGTTCGATTTTCTCAAAATCGGCATTCGGGAAATTGCTCCCTCTTCTCTCGACAATCTCTCGATATCGGCAAACAAACGTGTAGATAACATACGCGAATTTTTCCGCAAGTCTTTTGAACCTCCAGATCGGGAAGCTTTGTATCTGAGAGCCACCGGATTCGGAAATCTCCGACCACGAAGCTTTGTGCAATTAAAGCGCTCTAAAGCTTTGGAGTTTCGAGTGCTACGGGTTTGAAATTTACTCGCAGGTATTGGAATCTCAAAAGCTCTAACCTGAGAGAGGGACAGAGAAATTTAAGAGCGGAAAGTTCCAAGTTCCGAAGTTCCAGTCTACTAAAAGCTCTTTGCAACTTGGAAGACTTGAAGTTCAGAAAATCTCTAAAAGTTCCTTCGAAGCTTTGACACTTTCAAAGTGCTAACCTTGAACAAAACGGGACATTAGAGGTCCTTAAAAGCTCGAAAATCTCTAATCTGTGGAGCTGAAAGCATCAGTTCGGTAAGCTATTGGTCTACTAAAGCTTGCGTCCTCGAAACTTCAGCAACTCGAAAAGCTCTGACCGCGAAAGTTCGTGATTGGAAAGCTTTAATCTGAAAAGCTTATGACGATTTGGGTTCCCAGCTGTGTTCAAACGTGTAGCATACTCTCGCCCCGTTGCCGTCACCCCGGCTAATATGTCGGACGACGTATAAAACCGTGCGCTTTATGGTTAACACGGGTAAAAAGCGAGCTGGCTAGACCGTAAGAACTTCGTTACCAGTGTCGCAGGAAATTACGGTGACCCCATGGAAAAAAGCTGCCGCGTCCCGCGTAAATTCACTGTTATTAAATTCGACGAGAGGTGGAAGGGTTGGTTCGTTTCCTTTTTAACGGAGCAAAGATCAATCGGCCTTTAAAATCCCGACGATAAATTTTCAGTAGAACTTCTGTTCAATTTCATTCGCCCGAAAGACGCGAATCTCTGCTTTGAAGCCGTCGAATACCCGAGAGATAAACAAAATTTGAATAACTCATTAGGCGACCTTTCGCTCGAAAATGTTCGTTTGCAAAGACTCTGGACACCATCAATATTCATGATTTCATCAGGGTTAATTCTAATCAAGAACTCGACTGAAACGATCCTGCATCGTCCGTGAGGTGGAAAACATTCTTAAATGAAAGCTCGGTGAAAATTACAGCACCGGTAGTATGCAAAATAATTCTTTCGAAGCTTCGTCGAGACTTTTCTATACACCGTACGATAGTATAAAAAACGATCTCTTTCGACGCGACCAAAGGAAATACAAATTCGTTCTTTCAGTCTTCGATGCACAAAAGAATTCTATTTTTATGATAAAAGAGTACAGTCAGTTTCTTTAATCAAAGGAACACTTGGTTTCTTTTTCATCGTTTATTTACACGTTCGAGATTATTGTTCGGATGATATCGAACGTTCGGTTGGCAAGAAAGCTTTCGCGTCGCGACGCGAGAAAAGGAACGACCCTTCGTTGAAAGAAACGGGCGAAAGGGGTTGAAAACCGCAGCCTCATCAGCTGTAACGCGGCGAACCACGAAGCAGAACCGAGCGAATCCCTATGGGATCTTCTTGTTCTTGATCCCTTTTCGTTTCGTCGCTTCTTGCCGGCATACGTGACAGTTTAAATTGAGTTCGCGACATCGGAACGAGCGGACCGCCCCCGATTATGCCCCCTTTTTTCACCTTACATACTGACCGCTTCTTCACCGCGGGATTTCAACGGTTCTTCGAAACGAACAACGCTGGCAATCGTTCGAGAACGTGACGAGGGTGGTACCGGTTTTTCCTTCGGTCCCTTCATCCCTTATCGAAGAAAAACAGGTAGATTTCGAAGCAGCCACTTTGGGCTAAAAATAATAAGCTCGGAGAGTAAATAATTCAGACAGAAATATAAATTGATTATACAAAATTGCGTATACGTAATTGTTTCTCGATTTCTTCGGATATCGAATATCGCTGCCTCTTCAAAGGAAGACACGTCATCGGATACCGTTAAAGTAGCCCCCTATAATCGAGATTTTCGAACTTCCTCCGTTCCCATCGTTCTTTTGTTCCCATTCTGTTTCCCATCGATCGGTCGATTCGATACGAAGGGAAAACGAGCGATCTAGTGGCGCGACTCGATTAACCGATCCCCAGTAATCATGGTGAAAGCCATCGTTGAATCCCGACGACGGACTTTTGCGGAAAGAAATTCGATGAAGTCTTATCTTATCGTACCATCCCTCATCCCTCTATCCAGCTTTCGTTTCTCCCTCTTTCGATAGCTTGTTTGTTCCTCTCGAGGCTGTTTCGAGTGTCTCGTAATCGATGATCCATTAATCGTGGCTCTTCGTTAAACGCACTCTACTCTTCGATGTCTTTTCATTTCGATAAAAGCTCCTAGGGATACTCTTCCAACGTTAACAGTTCAATTCTAAGGTCTTTGGTTTAGGTGCACGATGCACAGGGTGTACAGAAGATAATTAGGTGGTTTAATTAGGTGATGTTTAGGGTGTTCCATAAATAATGATTGAAAATTTAATACATAGAATATTAAAAATTGATTTCTTCGCTCAGAATCATCCCCAAATACCATCACTCCTGGTACATCCTATTTTAATAGAAGAAAGATCTTTACGAGGGAGAAATATGATACCGCTGGATCCCGTTTCTCTGTTTCTTCCTCAACGTTCCCTTCGTTTAGCTTCATTCTGTGTCACTGGAGTAAACAAGAGGTTTCAGGTCGATCATCGAATCGCCCCGTCCGCTGTTCTTCTGCAGGGGTTGAAACGTTTGAATTAGGGAAAGGAATTTATTCGATTGCCCTCCAGGGAGGGGAGCAAAGCTGATCCACCCTTTCGTAACTTTGTCACGAGATTGAAAGAAACGTTTCAACGTTTCCCCACAGCCACGTATCGCGGGAGAAAACGTGAAAAAATAAAAAAAAGTTTCACTCCGGTGCAACAGTACGCGGTTAAGAAGTTTTTTAAACTTTCCCCCTTCCCCCCCATCACGGTGGCCGGGCCCTCTAATAAAAGTTTGACGAGCGTTCCCGGGCTTCTTTCAGCCGCACGCTCGCCGCTATTCTAACTCGAAGAAATTAGGAAATTAAACAAATAAACCGTGGAACGTCGACGCTTCAACAAAGTGTTTCGACGACGTGCAACGGGGAAAAAGAGCCAAAAGCGTAAACTTCATTCCACGGATATTTTTCTCGCGAAGTCGGAAAGTTACCCCGCAAGCTTCCCTTTAACTCTTTTCACCTGGCCGCTAACTTCCTCGCTTGTACACGTACGGTTTGAAAATTAGCAACAACGAAGAACGAGGCGCGCTGGGACCGGACTGTCTGGAAACGTAAAGCTGACATTAATATCGAGACGTGGAACAGAATCGTTCCGTGAAACTGAATCAGAGAACAGAAACAGGGTTATCCTTTCTATTGTGCTCGAAACTATTGTCTTGAAATTTCACATTAAATGGAAATGCTTTGGAAAGGAGTCAGGAACAGACGAATATACTGGCTGGCTCGTCTTAACTCTCAACATTTTTTCACTATTTTCCATTTTATAGAAATATCAATTGGCATTTTTTATTTATAAAATGAAATTAATCTAATCAGGGCTGTCCTTAGAGATTGAGAGAGCCGAGACAAAAATAAATAATCTTAAAATCTATTCTAACGAAATGGATAATTTATACTTGTCAATTGTTGTAAAAGAGCAATTAAATTAAATTAAATTAAATTAAATTAAATTAAATTGAAGAGCCCTCTTTGCCTGGCACCAGGGACGGCCCTGAATCTGATAAGAGACATTCAAAATTGTGTTTATCAAATTGAACCATCCAGATCATTTTGTATTCCATGATAAAGTTAATCTCGTTCCATATTGATGTAAATGAATTAAATCATCCTCTCGTTATATTTCAACATACTCAGCATTCTACCAAAACAGCAGCCCACCCCGAATCAAATCGAATTGCTCGTATTTTCGAACAACCCAATCCGGGAATTCAGCTTTATTTCCCCTCGTAACCAGACAGTCTTTCCTATCGCTCAACATAATATTCAACTGCTCCTTCGAGAGACAGTCCAGAGAATGAGTGATTCAGTTCCGTTTTACGAGTCGGCACTAACCCGATCGATCTGCAAAAGATTAGGTCCGTTTGCGTTTCCGAAATCCAGTCGACCGTACAGCCATCCAGGTGAATCAGCCCGTCGATTCCCCAGGGCGACTGCGTTTCTCGCAGACGTGAAATCCAGCCGCGACAACACGGTCACGATAATCTGGAATATTTATGCGTTCATTATTAATCGACAGTTTCCTATTCATTAAAATTTCATTAGCACTTGGGGCTCGTTGAACGATATAGCGTAAATACGCGTGTAAATCGTGGCGGAGTCGCAAGCGAGATACGGCCGAGGGATCCAAAGCGACAAGCCACGTTTGCTTTTTCCAGCTTCGCAATTTTTTCTTCCGTTCCATCGCGTCTCCGCTCGTAAAACGGTGTTTTACGACTTTACGACGCGTCATCGCGCACCTCTGCCCTCGAGAGCAACTCGACAGTTCGCTTTTCGAGGGGCTTTTGGGTCCACGTTCTCTAGATGTTTTTATGTACACACAGAGAAGAGCTCTGGGGGGTTGATAAAATTTCGCGACACTTTCGTTAGCGTCTGCCACTGGCCTGATTTACACCCCCCGCGACGCGAATTCCTGAGAAATTTCGTTGATCTCTGGACGACATTGTTTTTATAAACATAGAAAAATAATTGTAATGGTGTCATTTTGAAAATAAATCGACACCAGCCTCTGGTTAAGGGTGCAAATTAAACGGATTAATTTATCAGTTCGATAAGAGAAAAACTTACGAGTAGATGGAACGCGGTAAGTTTAATTAACCGCGACTATTTGCCGGCTTAATGATACCGAGGCTCGGCTCGAGTGGCTCCGACGAAGAATGGTTGAAACGGAATTAAATTGGAGCGACGAAACGAGTTTCGAGCACGCGAGTTTCCCTCGCTAACGGGGAATGCTACTTTTTTCGTCCATGGTCTATCTTCGAATGTAATTTCTACCGGAACAGGTCTCATAATTCCATGGGAAATGTGTTCTCCTTTTTTTGTTTTTCTGCTCCAGTTTCGGGCGGCTCGATTCTCGCGTGATTTAATCGCTGGCAAATGAACGAACCCTGTTCTCTTTTATCGGCGACCGCGAGGCTAAATACGAATCGTCACGCCGGAAATTCAGCGCGAAAAAAAAAAGAAAAACGGACGTTTACGCTTAAATTTCATCGGTTTACGACACCGCGATGACGCGCGGTATCATCGCGTTCAAAGCAATCAATAACCCCGAATCGATCTGATAATCCGCGACAGTCTCGTTCCAGGTTCACTGTTACCGCTGTTTATTCAAAATCCGCTCTCGAAAGCTCGTACGACGAAATTACAAATATTTGGTGGCAATTTTTCAAGCTGACGCGTCCGATGGTCGGATTATGAGATACCAAAAATGAAAAAGAAGAGGTTCGCTATTTTTCTCGGTTTTTCCAATCCTTAATTAAAACAGACGTCACCGGGAAAATATTTTTGACATGTACTATTTTATGTTTTGATTAAAAACACCAACATTTTAGGGTTATAAATTAACACCAGAAATGTGTCTGTGGTGACTCGAAAGATTTTGATAATCAATACAAATTAGAGTATCTACTCAGTACGAAGGGGATAAATTCGAAATTCTTACTTCTTTTCTCGTCTCATCGTACTGTTTGTTGCGATAAGACTAAACAATCGTTCGTATTGATTTACCTGCAACACAAACAGACACGAGAGCAACGGCAGAACGGAATACAGCGTGCCGTTTAGCAAGGTCTTCATGGCGACGAGACAGCCCGGAGCGTTCAGGCTGTCGTAAGTGGAATTCTGTTCCGGATTTGGCAGCTGAAGAGGATCGTGATAGCAGGGACCCTTTACGTCGATTCGACAGCAACTCCATGGCACCACCGGCGGCGTCACGCGACCGTCTAACTTGGCGTACCTGAAACAAGATTCCTTCGTGTCAGCTCGCGTCCTCACGTACATTTCCCTTCGCCGTTTCCCTCTCTATCTCCTAACAAGTTCGAAGGAAACTTTAAATTTGCTCGAAAATGTTTCATTTATTTGGTAACAAGGCTCGGATGACCAACACCTATAGACTCATCCTTGATCAAGGACCAGTTCCTTGGTCATCTTATATTTCGTACCATTCCTTGATCATTGTCCTTATCATTACTGATCCCCACCAATAAACTATAAAAGTCCGTAAAATTGAACCGTCAGAATTTAATATTCAATATCAGAATGTAGAACATGAATAAACATGAATAAACATTCTAAAAATATCTTCCGAAAACTGTGTTGTTAATTCCCTTCACTCAGAATCTAATAAAAGTCACTAGGATCTTCCATCCTAATCTCGGTTCCTAGTTCCTTGATCATTGTCCTTATCATTACTCACCCTCACCAATAAAATATAAAAGCCCGCAAAAAGTCGTCAGAATTTAATATTCAATATCAGAATGTAGAACATAAATAAAAATTCTAAAAATATCTTCTAAAAACTGTGTTGTTAATTCCCTTCGCTGGGGATTCAACAAACGTCACTAGGATCTTTCGAGTTCCTTCGATTGGCAATTCAAATTTGGCAAAAAGTTGAGAGCAGCCGAGAGACACGAAGGGTTGCTCCCCATTTCTTGCGCCCTCCTCTCGGACAGAGAGGTGACAACGAGCAAGTCAGCCGTTGCGATCGGCATTCCGCAAGTTGTTGAACTTGCTAATTCGAACTTGTCCACCAACATGTCCGCGAAGTCTGGAATGAGTTGCGAGAGCCGTGTCACGCGTTCCTACGCTCTTCCTCGGCCGTGGCTTTCCAGGCGAGTTTTCGAGCGAGCAACACCGAGCAGACGTGTGCAGCAACGGCCACAGGACTTTCCCGTGTTCGAGACACGGTTGGCTGCGTTTTGGTAATTAAATGTTTCGATCGATTCAACGCGCGATGTGCAAAGCGTAAAGAATATTGTAGATTCGTAAGAAATAAATTTCAAATGATTTATCATCATCTTGTGACTTTAAACGTCAACTGAATGCATGAATGAAACAATTTGCTTTTCTATGGTTAAGGAAATGTAATTTTGTGGTGTGAGTTGAGAATGCAATTTGATGGCGGTTGACATACGTGAATAGTTGCGGTACCAAGGGGGTCGGGATCGATCCACTCGAAGGTATAATTCTGCAATTATCATAACGAGAAATCGATAACCCACTGTTCTATCTGTGATTACCAGCCGTGACACAAAGGCTTCTGTTCGGGCCGAGCTATTAACCCTTTATTATTGAACGTATTACCGGCAGAACATAATGGATGCATACGTCTAACCGCAGGAAACCTAACTATTAGGCAATTAACGCGAAACTACTGTAAGCAATACGAACCTACTCGAAACCTACCTAACGCGAATCGTTCCTTCGAAAATTTTAAAATTTTCCTCACCATTGTTGCAATTCGAGAGGTTAATAGGAAAAATCCTGAACCTAGAATTATGTTCAGCTTTTCGGTAGAATAAAAAATGGATCAAAGCGATCGAGAATTACCAGCAACATCTTCGGCAATGTTTCTCTCTTTTAAACGGCGCGGTGGACGGAAGAAGATGGTAGTTTTTAGGGGAGGGGCGTGTTCCGAGTAAAAGCACACGCGAAGGGGCGCTTAACCCGTGAGTTAGATGGGCCAGACCGGAAGCGGAGGGCCCCAGCACGGAAATAATCTGCCCGGAGACGAGTACTTTCCCCGGAAGCCTCTGGTGTTTTAAATCCTTTTTGGAAGCATCGCAGAAAAGGCGTGGAATACCGAGCGCTGGGAATTTCGCAAGAGGAACAGGAACGAGGACGTTTCAGCAGCCTTCCGGTTTGCACTCCCTTGAGAATGGCCACTCGCCGCGCAGGCCAACCACTTCTATCTTACATACGTACGTATACGTGTATCAGCTACCTTCTAAAAGCCGTGTGGCGACCGCTTTAAACCGACGTAACAACTTTTTAGACCCCGCGCCAGTTGAAATTTCGTCGTTCGCCGAGAGGCCTGGTACGCGTGTACTCGTAATTAAAATCCTGGCATACTTTCTGCGTTTCCATTAAAGTTCCTAGGAAATTTGTTCGTGACTGCCGGTGGACAGACTCGCGTGTGGTATTACACGTAATTATTATGGCGTCGCGATCGTTGGACGGAAAATGTTGGAAGAACGTGAATGGAAAGTAGAAATATCATTTAGGATCTCGTTGATATCGATGCGGAAAATATGTGACGAGGTAAACGTAGATTTAATAGCGGTTCGTTATCCAGGAATAATTAACCGATGATCACCTTAAGATATCCGGCGAATCCAGGATAAGAAGGTCTCGTTGCAGCCAGTAAGTCGAGTGCCAATCGTCGGAGGAATCTATTCCACAGCATCGCATCTCCACCTGCATATTATCTATCCTTCGCTTCCACGTCACGTCCGTAAAGTACCTTTTCATACCTGTTCAAAGTAAGATCGGTCAACGTCTACACCCGTGTAGATTAATTAACTGCGAAGCTGATTCGTGTCTGGCGAGACTGTGGCAACTTTTCTTTGTAAGATGATTCAATTTTCCGGAGTCCTTAATGAAAGGGTTCTCAAGAACGAGAGGAAAAAAAAAAAAGAAGGATATTAAGATGAATCGTCCGGCGCACACGCGTATGAATCTCAATTATTCGCCTCATCTTGCATCTGGGTGGGACGGTATCAAATTCCATAGCTGGCTCGTGGTAATGTTCCACTGGCTGGGATATTTTGCACCGTCTCGTACGACTTTCCGATATTTTATATCCTATCAGAAATTCATCGGCATAGGAAGCGCGGGTTACGGTGAAATTGAAATTTTCGTCCGCGGAACCTCGAGCCATTAATTAAAAAGTCTCCGTAGGAGTAATTAAATATCGACCGTGATCAATTAAAGGTTCACCCCAGGCTGATTAGTTTCAATCGTTTCCTACCTGCCACCGTGTAACCTGACAAAGGGAATCAAAGCTTCGACCAAGTGGAAATTCGAACCTGAATTCTCCTCCCGGAAGTATGTTTTCACTAGAGTAACGAAAATGATGGAATTTGAAATGCTGTTCAAATTTTTGTGTAAATTGCTCCTCGCAATCGAACTGATTAATCCTTCTCATTTCTTTCGTTGAAAGGTAATCCCGAGTAGGAGATGCTTTGAAGAGCAAGTTCATCAGAAGGTTTGAAAGAACACAGTTGTTCTACCGTGAAGTATATACGGAATCCCAGTTGCGAAGTAAATTCTCAAGAGACTTCGTGTACTCTATCTACTCTCTTCGCGACACTTTCCACCACTTACAAGTCTGATACTTCGAACAACTTCGACTGCAAAGCCCCGTTCGATGTCCTAAGACCTCTTACTCGCGCGTAACCCCTTCTTCCGTACGTAATTAGTCGCGTGGGTTGCATCGAAAACTAGCAACTTATTTACACTGAAACATTCGTCAAAGTTCCACGAATGGAAACGTGATTTAAACTTTCCATCCGGTCGTCGAATGAAAAACATTTTCCAACGCGATTATTTGAATTCCAAACAAATTCAATCGAACGATCTCTTATAAAATATCAATCGCAAATGTTCCGACGATCGATACACCGTTCGATTATTCGCCAGTTTAACGAGATCCGGCACGATCGATGAATCCTGGAGCGGTTATCATTCGTAGATGATCATCAACGGGGTGTTTGCATAGTGTAGGACAGAACTGGATGCGCGAACGGCAAGTTTATCGTGAGCAAACGCGTGGAATTTCGAAGAGAATCCTGTCGTATCTATTCATTAAGTAGACGTACGCCAAACGAGATTTCCATCAGTAATTTCCACGGGGCAGCCGTTGTTCGACCGCCGATTTGCATATTATGCCTGGATATACTATTTCCTACCGTTTCTACCGTTTTACCCATCTGTCCTCTATACAGACGGATTCGCACGCGTCGCCATCGAAACCTGCCACGCATCATCGCGTTCCCTGCCTCGACAAGATTTTACGCCATCGGTTATTGCATAAACCACGCCGCTTGGTCTCTCTTACTCTTGATTAAATATTCAAATTTCACGTAACCATCGCGGATGACACGACGGCGTAAGAGGAATGATAAAAAAAAAAAAAAAATAGAGAGCGAACCTGAAGCGATCGTCAGGCGGAGAAAATGAATTCGTGGCTTGCCACCTGACGATCGCCAATACCGCTCGCGTGTTCGATCGATGAATATTTCACGAGCAATTTCGACAGATAGATTTGTACCCTCGATTTCAACCGATCCGCCGATTAATTTTTATTGAATTTCGTTAACGCGGTTAGTGAAGCCAATTCTTAAAGGAAAAATTGGAAAGTGAAAATGAAATTTGTCAAATGGTATTGTAAATAATTTTGTAAAGAATTACCCTTAAATTTAATTTACCTTCGACTAAGATTTGACGCACTTGTTGAGTCAACTGATCAGCGGTGGTGACACAGATGCTGGCCATGAAACAGCCAACGAAGGCCACAAATAACCCCAGCATTGTCCATAAGAATAGTTTCAGATTCATCCAGGGTCTGTAAATAAGGAATTATTTGTCCAAAGGGTTAATTTGGAATTCTATTCAATTAGTCGTTTTATCTGTAATCCTTATCTAAGATAGTTCGATACACGTCGATTCCACTATTCGAAGTTTTAAAGCAGAAGAAAGTAAACGAGATTAATCTGAGCAACCCTCCAATTTCCACCCTAGTCGGCTGTATATCGAGGCAGCGTCGACAGGGTGTGAAAATCACCGACCACCGACTAAACCGCGAAGATACGTTAACGAGCAAAGGTAATTAAAACAAATGAACCGACGGCTAGGAGTATCGGGAACGTTGGAATTGCTTGAAAATTCTGACAAATCGATTGGCCTTCGGCAAACCAGTCGTTTCCCAATCCTTGCCCCTTGGCTAGAATATAGAAACCCGGTGGAATTAAGAAAAACGCGTTAAGGGGTTAATTCTTGGCATCGTTCTCCAACGAGTTCGCAGTCTAGATCGCTTTTAGCAACCCTCTGTTTTCTGTGTCTTTCTTTCCGTTTTCTATCGTTTCTCTTCATACGACCCTTAAGTATTAGCAGTAGATTAATGGCTATCATTAACACGTTGAATTTGTTGTGGAACATATCGAAGCTCTAATTATTAAGAAAAGGAATGCAATTCATTTTCAAATTTCAACCTTTCTATTTGCTATTTTACATGATTCGTAAAATAGCTATATTATTGAAACAAATGTCTTTCTATTGTCTCCCTTTAATTATTCAGACAGGTGTAATTTACGTAATTAAGGCATTCAACGTGTCAACGATTGATTTTGGAGAATTTTAAAATAACAAATACACTTGCTAAATTACAGAAACCAATCTTCACCCTCTTTTTCAATTCTCAAACGTTTCTATGTGACTATTGTTCACCTTCCTGCGATTCTTTCACCCTTTATCCTACGTTCTACTCAGCCACGATTTACTCGTTTTCAATTTTTCACCCAACACCCATTCTGCCCACGAACCATTCAACCTGCTATTCTTCGCAAATGTTCATAATTCTCGCAGGCAATATTGTACCGGCTGTGATTCGATTACAAAGGTCAATTGATCGTATTCACGCGCACCTCCGACCGGCTGTAATGAATGCTTCAATCCGGCGAATTTCACATCGCGCCGCGGTTTCCGGCACGGAAATATCGCTGGGAAGAATATCCCGGTCCTAGCTCGCATTAACTCATTTACGCGAAATCGTGGACGGGCCAGGTGGCGATTGCTAATTCGCAATCTGTCCGGTATTGTGCAACGAAATTCATCCCGGCGCGTTCGTTTCATCTTTTTATCTACCCTTAAATTGCCTCGCTTTTTGAATAACAAAAAAGAAGTTACCAAGTGAACGTACGAAATTGAATATATCAATCAATCGACGGATATTTTGTTTTCGTGAAAATTTAAATCCTGAAATTTCCAAAAATCAGCCATTGTTAGTGGAAATATAATAGTATAACCGACAGAAATGTAAAGGTTTTTGCTTTTGTATACAGTGATTCAAATTAATAATCCAAACCTTCTCTGTTCTATGGTTATCGTTTGTTACATCGGCATTAATTCAACACGATTGTTTGCAGCGAATTGGCCTTCGGTGCATTTTGTGATTGAATTACAAAGCGAATTAAATAATAGATCTTCTAAATAATAGACATTGGGAAACAATATACATCGCGTCACGCTTCAAGTTTAAATGTGACGTGAATCATGGAAATGTAGTAATTACCCCTAATTTCATGAAAAGGTAATAGTAGAACATAATTGAATATCAGAAATATTATACAGTTTACAATTATCTTACCCCTCGGCATAATGAAAATAATTATAACAAATCTTCACGGTCAGTAAATTATGAACGAAAACGTACAATCCATAGAACGTGATTGTTCTAAACACATGTTGGAAGGAATTTTTCTCGTCCAACTGCAATCTACCAGCAATCGCGAAGGAAATGTACATTCCCAGAAGGAACAATAGAAATCCAATAAACACATTTGTCAAAATAATATAAATCAACCAACGGTGAAGTCGTTTCCTTTGGTTCCACGTGAATTTAACATCACAGATCGCCATTTTCAAACTGCACGTCATTTGTTCGTGGAAATTCTTCGTCAATGTTCAATTAATTGATCCAATATTATTGTATACTTGTATATCATTCAAAATTATAACAAATATATAGAACGGAGAATCGAATATGCAAAGGAAAACGATGATTGTTTCCACTTAACAATTCAAATGTTTACATTTAATTTGTCACCTCTTTTCGTTTAATTTTCTCAATTAATCATACAGTTCCATTAACCATCCATTTGCCATAGCGGTTCACCGATACCAATGAGTGCAATATTGGCCGCAAACGTACGCAAAAACCTGGCCCCGTAACCGCGATAAATCCGATGACGATATATAGCCAGGACACGCGTTGCCCCGTGGAATAATCAATTACCGGCGGGTCATTAATTAACTCGGAAAAGTGCTACGATTTAACGGCAGGCTAGCGGCAATAGTGGAGCGTGATTGCGGTCGGACGAAAGGGGAAGCGTATTTGGGGGGGGTTGAAATGATCCTCGGCAGGTTGAGAGGCGAAGGATGAAATTTGCATACAGGGTGGGTCATTGTAAATTTAAGTCTTAAAATAACTTCGCGATCTATAGAATATATTTGAAGAAATTCTAACAGAAAGATGCCACTATTATAGTAAATGCATTTCCTAGTCAAATTCGGCTCGTAGATGCCACGTAAGACCGTCCTCTTCTTTACGACACCGTCACGCCCGCATTTCATCCACCCGTACCTATTAGTTCTCCAGATTTCATAAAACCGTTTGAAGAATAGCTGAATTCGTCTCAATCCGCTGGCGCGCTTTAAAACCTTGTCAGACAGCGAAGAATGAAATATCAATGGTCGCTGTCTCAGCGATCCGCTATTCTAGGGTTAAAGAAAATTCTTCGAGAGATATAGAGAAGAAATTCGAGCGGTAAAGCTAGCTGAGAGCAAGAAATCAAAGACGAAAAATAGAGGAACCTCGGTTCTAGGAGATTTAAGTACCGAAGCAGAGGATACGAGCGTCGATGAAATAAAGAAGTCGATCTCATTCCAAATAAATCTGCTGAAACACACAATTTCCTGTTGAAAAGGATAAGTTCCTTTTCATCAGTTTCTATGTAGATAATCAAAAACTAAGATCCCTTGGTAATTGAATTAAAACTTACGCTAATGAGAATTGATTTCGACGTATTGTGGTCAATGTATAGTTAGAGAGCAGGTGTTAATCGAGGCGCAGATCCATTGGCCAAGCGGAATCGATCGAATGGCACGATTAGGAGGATCGTTTGTTCGGTTTGCGTTTGTTTGAGCTATTGTACGCCGCTCCGGTTTCGCGTCTCTGTTTCCTACGTGATTCTGTATTCGTGTATTAACAAGTATTTGTTAGAAATTCGATCGATTGTTATTTAAGAAAAAATGGTAGATCGACGAAAGGGATTATTCGGCAGATGTCGGTGAGGAAAGACAGAAGTCTGTTTGACTATCGAGTTGCAACCAGCTCTCCGTTTTCCATCTACGGAGTGTAATGCTACAGGAAATTTCTTGAATGCACCGCGATGCATCGACAGTAATGCGATCGAGGAAACTGGTGGCAGGGTCTCTCCCGTCGAATTCGACTGATATTATGCGCGGGAACGCGAGAACGTCGACGAACATAATCGCATTAAGGTCGCAACAAATTTCCACGCTGTCTGGATGCTTATTGCTTACGTGAGCATCCTATGGATGCGTGAGCTCGAATATATCTGCAGCCATACTCTGATATCGCGAACGAGCGTTCGAAATTTCCCTCGAAACGCAAAGTTTCTCCATCCCCCTCCTCCCTTCTTAAGCTCATTAGATCGTTTAAACTGTTCGTTTCGTTTATTCGTCGCGTTACACGGGACTCGCTGTCGATCAAGAGTAAATGAAATCCTTCTGGCGAAAGAAGGAAATTCGATATTACGAGTCGCTCGATCGATGCGATCAAATTGCCATCTTTTACCGCGTTCCTGAGGGAAACGGAAATAAATAAATATTACGGGGAAAACTGAAAGGATTACCAGGAAATATGATAGTAGTGAAGATTTAACGGACTTCTAAAATTCATCGTATTGCCAGTTATTCCTTGTTCCACTTTATGTGTCGCGATAGACGATTGAAAGACTTTGAGAATACTCAATTTCCCGATAAATCGCGACGATAAATTGCGATTTGAAAACTGAAAATTGTAACGTACCACGAGGTGCCAGGTTAGGAAATGTTTATCTTCAGAACAACAGTCCGCTGTGTTTGCGCGACCCTTGAAAATGGTTCGACCATCCCCAAGGATCGCAACCCTGTCTCATCCCCTGAACCTCTGCAAGGAGAAGTCAAGGGGAACAGCCGACAGTCATTTGAATTTCGAAACATCCCGGGGGATTACATTCCGCTGCACGTGCAACTTTCTGTTCCCAACCCTCGGACTCACCCTTAGCGCAGTCGTCGCGACGAGGATCCATCGGATGATGAGATCGGCCAGAAACCAGTCGATCTTTTACGACGGAAAAATAATTTGTTTCCCTGTTCTCCGTGAATAATGGGTTTTAAAAGGAACGACGTAGACGCGGCAGAGACAAAAGGACGAAGGAGATGGTTTCAAGGAACGGCGAAGGGTGGCTAAGAGACGAGAGGCTGTGTCGTTCGTTTGCATAAAAAAAAAAAAAGAAGAGGAAAAAGGTCGTTCAGACTGGTGGGAAATGTAGCGTTTCCACGGGAAACGAGTATCGGTCGGTGTTCGTCCATTTCACGGTTCGTGGTACGCGACGTTACGTTCCTGTACGCTCGTACGGACACGGGGGATGAAATGGGTATGGGGGTGGTGATTCGTCGACATTCGTTCTCGATGAAAATCGCTCGTCTGTTAGCCTCGATACCATTCGTCCATCTTGTTGGTCAGATTTGCCTTTTACGTTTGCCGACGACTTGTTTGCACTAAAATGAACATCGAAAAGAATGAATTTTGATATAATATTTATTTAAATAAAACGGATTTTTTGTATCGTAAAGCGTGAAACCATTTTTCGCTTCACTTTGATGAGATGTAAAAACTAAAGTGGTCTCGTTTTCCAGCCAATCTTCCGAATGATTTATCAGTGGCTCTTCGATATTGGGTCAAAGATTTCTGATAATAGCTCTCGTTTAAGCCGTACTCAAGTTTCTGCTTGCTTCGTCTGTACAGTCACTTATTATTCAACGTTTGTTCGCTAATTCGCGAGGGGATCAAGAGCGTAGAACATCAGTATCAGGAGATGTCTCTTGAAACGTCTATTTCAATTTTTTTCCTGCTCATCCTCTCACTTGAAAGGCTATTTCTACTATGGAAAATATTTATTTTTTCCCTTAGAATACTCTACGAAACGATTCAGTTTGTTTTAAAAATATATATTCCAAGCTTGGTTTTAATGAAACCCGAGTGTTTGTTTAGGTAATATTTTCAGTAAAAATAAATTATAAAATCAACCCTTGAACAGCAGAGGTCGGGTCAATTGTGATCCAAACTTACAAAATATATAGAAGGATATTAATGTACAATTTCTAATCGAGAAAGTTTCATATATTGAAAGAATAATAATTTTTAAAGGAACGGTGTAGAATTTGTGGCTCTCTCCATGGTCCGCCGTTCATCTTCATATTCAACGACGTATATCTTCGAACCAAATCATTTCAGTGAGCTCTAATTGGAATCATAAAAAGCGCAGAATTTTCCTCTTTAAAATGATTTTTGAAACATGCTCGTAAGACTTTTGGTTTCTAAGATATTCTTGTTTGAAGCAAAGTACGATTTCGCCGTGCTCGAACCTTTTACTCGCGCCCTCGGATCTCTCGCTCCCTCGCCACTAACCTACCCCATTCGGCGCCTACTGCGCTGGTCACCGACAGACGCCGAGTCAGCGTTTTTTTTACTACTACTACACGGCGTGCGTATTTCCAGGAAGAAAAAGTAGGTCACGGCGCTTCCGGGATTTCGGCTGCCATTCAACATGTCCGTACATGTTAAGTGCTCGTTTCTAAGCCCTATATCTCCGGAACCAATTGAGATATCGCGTTGGAACCAACTGCATTATCTTCAGCACGTTTTCCTCTTTCCATTGAGATAGGTTTCATGGAATTTAGAAGATTTTTCTTGAAGGACCCGTTAAATGTTCGCGACCTCCGTTCTCGAATCGATTTAAAATTAAATTTGGAATTTTGGAATTATTAAAATTCATTAATTTCTCATGAGATTATAGAAAATTCTTCATTTATACCAGTCAAACGATATCTAAGGATTAATAGCAAAATTTGAAGCGAATCGATAGATAAATTCTACTTGTAATTTCGATGCAAAACATTCGAATCTTACAAAAGCTTTTACATTCAACTTTTCTCGAGTGTTCCACCACTCCGTGTGACTCGTTCGAGCATGCTGATGATAAAGTTTCTATTGGTATCACCGTCGATGGATGCGGCTGGTTTCCCGCATCCGACGAGGAACTTCGATTATTCTCAACTTTGTTCCTCTCTCGATTCGTCTCGACGTACCATCGACATAAATTAGCGGACACTGAATTCACCTCAAAATGCTCCTCTCCCTCTCTTGCTCGAGTATGAATTATCGGCACTGTGTTTACGCGAGTTTTAGGAGCACGGAAAGATGAAACGGTGATACGAAGTTTCGTCAATTAAACTATCGACTTTCCAGCTAAGCTCGAGAAGATTTATTCGCTTTTCCGGGATTTTATTGCACGACCAAAGCGCTACCGGCACACGGCTTCCTCGGTTCGCGACCACCGCTGACCGAGTACGTTAAGAAACAACGCGGAGAGGATTATCATCCTCCCGTTTCATTGTGATTCCAACGTCTTCTCGCGTTAAATGTTGCCCCGTGTTTCCTGGCTGCGAATGTAATTCACCGAGGAACGAGGAAGTATGAAGGTAGTACTAGATTTTCGACACGTGCTCGCTCGTAACACGCGTATTATCTTCTTTTATCCGCTGCTTCGTATTTTTATTATTAGACAGG